AGTTTTGCCCTTGATAATATTCTTATAAACCATTTTTCAAAATTTTAGATACTGTGGGTCCCCATGTGGCATTTGGCTGTTCCTTAGGGGGAGTTAATGTGAGGCAGCTATATGAAATGCAGTAGATAAGTCTATAATAATTTTAAAGTAACAAAAATATTTAATAATCACCAGTTGCCATCTATGTTTATTTTGTTAGCCCTGCCTATCAAATGTCACAGTAGCTGAAGTTGAGCAAAATGATGGTCTTCTATATTTCCTCAAGTGATTAATAACTCCTGGTCTGAAAATTCAATAATTGATTTGATGTTTGAGAGTTAATGTTGATCAAGTATCAAATGGTTTTGCTTATATGGTTCAAAGTGGCAGTTTCCCAGTTATCAGTAGCTTTGAAGAAGGCAAGCCTAGACATGGCTCATTCTTCTTTTGGATGTTTTCCTACAGACTACGTAGCTTATGTTCCTGTCTGTAAATAGGCTTCTTCATAGGAATCAACCAGCAAAGGTCTTCTACCAACCTCCAGTTTAATTTTTTTAAAAGAATGAAAAAACTTAAGCATTTGCATGGATAAGGTTTTAAACAAGTTCACTGTAGCAGTATAGAGTTCAGAGTTTACTGGTTTGGGTCATGCTGGCTCAGTGTGCTACTGCTTGTCACCATTTAGCAGTTTGTTTCTGTAATGGGGAACAGACAGTTATGAAACCTTGAATTTTGAAGGATAAAATGCAAATCTGTACATTAGGAAGAATCAAAATTGAAGAAGCCTGGGAAAAAAAGAAAAAAGCAAACAGAAAACTAAGCATCTAATAATTTGAGAAGGGCAGGTACGTTCAGGCTACCTTGTCAGATATTAGAATGAGACTAACATGGCTTGGCAGCTTCCTCCTTCTTATTAGCCAGCTGGATTACAGCAGCAGTCCACCCAAGGAAGTAATTCTTACAACCAGATATCTAGCTTCTCTGCCAGCTCATATTTAGTTTTGAAAGCAATTAACTGCAAGGAACTTGATTGCATCCAGCCAATAATTTCCTTTGGACTCAGAGATAATAACAGAAACAGAAATAGTCCTCTGATGCTATACACAATGTAATTTAATGCAATTCTTCTAGACTTCATCTATATGAATATTAGGCAACTGAGTTTAAAACTTTTTTTTTTTAATCACAAAGCTACTGTGGCCCCAGAAGTGATCCTTGGTCTGATTGTAGCATATGTGTTTTTCCTGGAGGTTGCACAGATTTTCATTACAACCGTAGCATTTATATTGTAATTTAGGCTGCGTCAGTGTGTCTATTATGACCTTGCTTTAACAAATTACTCCAGGCTGAAACTTGATGTACAGGAGTGAAATTCACTCTTTGCAATGCACAGGAAATAGGCTGTGTTTCTCCATGTGGCAGTAGCAAACTCTCAACTCTTTTTTTCTTTCTCATTGTGTTGCATAGTTTTCTTGTAAATCTCAGTTTGGGTGCAATTCATTTTTAAATTGGCAATAATGTAAAGAAGAAAAAGTACAGAAACTTTTTCCTATATGAGTCCTAGGAAAAAAAAAAAACCAAACAGTAAACATAAATGCTTAACTGTACCAAGAGGCCGAAGTAAAGGCACTCATACAAGAATGTCAGGGGTGGAGGGGAGAGAGGTCAGAGAGGAAGCTTCCAATGAACATAATTCTTGGACTATGCTGCTTTCTCCCTCAGGTTGGACCTGAGCACGATGACTTTTTGATCTAGAAGTCTATATGGTCCATCTAGCTTTTCCTTCCCCATCATCAGCTTGATAGCAGGGTCATATGACCATATAGATATTTACAATGCACTTCTATTACTATGGCGTCTAGTACAAAAAGAGGATATTTTCTTTCAAACTATCTCTTCCTCACAAGTAGAACAAATGAATGCTTCTCACCCTCTTCATGAAACTGTTTTCCTGAGGAAGAAATGCTTCTCACTTTTTGCTGCTCCTCCAAAATCCAAGAAAACTCTGTCCCTTCCCTGCTCATTGCAGATGACCTTAAAAGGTCCCTTCCAACCTAAACTATTCTATAATTCTATTCCTGCCTGGTAAGAAGGCAAAGAGAGGATGGAAATTTCTTCCAGCAGACAGAGTTGATTACTAAAGTTCTGGTATAAATCTAACGCTGCTCTTCAGTTTTGGTAAGGTTTGGCATCTTGAGTGACTGGCTCTTTATGCCACTTCTTTTGTCAGTGAAGAGACTACATCCTCCAGGGGATGATTCAGAACATTCTGGAACCTTAAGGCAAATAACCTAACACCTTTGATTTTCCTTTTGCTTAGAATTTGTACATTTTACATGGCATCAGAAAGGAAGGATAAGTGGAAAATATACTGGCAATTATTTCCCTAGTTAAGAGTGTTTCCTTCTGCTTTTTAAGAATTTAAAAAAAAAAATTTAAAAGCAGATTGTATTTCTGATGTAAAATTGTGGAAATAATTAAAGGTTGCTGTCTGTATTCTTCCTTCCCTCTCTGTCAATGCATCTGCAGGACATAGGGTCAGTAGAAAACTGATGAGGCCAGCAGGAGATTTGAAGCTAATGTGATGTTATGCTCCTAATATCCTCTCCCTAATCATGTACTTAGGAAAATGAGTTAAGCACAAGAAAATACATGCACAAAGGTACATGTTTTACTTATATTCAACTAAGACCAATCTCCTTAGTTATTTATTTACACAGTGTTAAAAAAAACTCTTTCCAATTTAAAAAAAAATTATTATTTATCACTTAAGGAGAACAAACAGCAGGAGTTTAATACACAATCAGATAACAGATTAGTTTCCAAAGCCATTCTGCAATTAGAGATGTTTAGGTTGACTGTGTCCTCTTCCCCCTTCTCCCTGCACCTCTGGTAGATACATCCATGCTAGCAGTTTGTTGCAATTTAATATTGTGGCTATGATGGTTTGCTCCAGGAAGAAGCTTCACAGATGAGTTGTGTTAGCTATAATGTCTAGCCATTGCTTTGTTAGTTACAGCTCCATGAAGTAAAGTAACTTAAAATACTTGCTTCATTTGTAGACTGAGGGGTACTCTCATCTCTAAATGTTTTGCATTATTTGCAACAGCATTTTTCTCTGCAGTGAAGTAAGAGGTTGAATTCTGGTTTGAAATGGAAACAACAATTAGAAAAAACAGTAGTACATTAGGCCACCTACATGCATTCCTACTCCTTTGAGGATCTGGTTTGTGTAATATTTTTGAATATAGTGACTGCTTAAAAAAAAAAGCGAAAAACAATCCACAACCCACCACCTAATCAAAGATCTGAAAATGTAAAATGTAATTTAATGGAATTTGAACAAATTCACATGATCTCACAACATGATTGCCCACTGGAAATAATCACATGATTGCCCACTGTAAATAATACCCACTGTAACATTTTTTTTTTTTATAGCTTCTAATCTGTGTTCTCCTTTCATTTCTTCATATGTACAACATCAAGCAAACTACTATCTCTGGGAATGTAGGATGTAAAATGTAAGTGGGACTGTCAGCAAAACCTGCTGTGTTCCTGCTATTTTATTTCCTAGCTGACAAAACAGTTTGCACAGTTTTATTTAGTTACAATTCAAGTAAACCATTACAGAATAGTTTTCCAGAACTCATAGAGTAGCCAAAAGTAAATAAGGAAAATGAATAAAAGTAGACATAAAAAATTAGGATCTTTAAACATGATTTGCAATTATCAGTGAATCTGTACTCATAACTAACACTCTTCTCCTCCTTCCTCTTTGTTAGAGGCTTTCCATGCAATAATTCTTCTGATTATATAATAGCTCTTGGATATGAAAACATTCTCTTTACTGAATGAAAGCTGACTAGGTTCAAATGTAGAAGCATACATAAAGTGGAAAAAAGCAAAAGCCTCAATGCTCATTTTTGAAACAGGATTCCATGAGTCAGTGAAGATATCATTAAAGAAAAAAAGACCTGCAACATCTTCATATTAATCTTCAACATTATAGATTAACAGTGTGTCCTGCCAAGTCACAAGTCACAGTATCATTCTGTTAGTGCTTGATATAATACTTAGCATTGTTTTGGGATGTCTGATCATGTGATTCCTACTTTCTATATGGCAACCAATGCAGAAACAATCTGTCAGGGACTGTCATTGAGGATCAATGCTAAATGTTACTCAGCAGGATGCAGACTGTATCTCGGTGGGTGTCCTCCTACTATGCTTTGATTATATTAGTTGTGAAGAAAAGCCTAGTTGTTCTCACAGCATTCATATTTCACCCTCTCTGTGGAAGACATATTACAGCCTCTTGATTTGTCCCTGTTTCAAACAAGATGTGTTGTTTAAAAATATATACACAGCGTTTTCAAAGATTCCTTCAGTATAATCTGATTATAAAGGGGTTATGTGACAGTTTGTCTCTGCTGCTTATTGTGTGGCTTAAATCTCTGAGGACAAGCTGACTGAACATCCATACGATTTAGTCTGATGGCAGCTGTGGTTCAAAAATGTTGTTTTGGGCCAGACCTGGGGTTATCTGAGGAGGCACTTCGGCATACACCAAGGTAACAGAAGGATTTTATACTACTTATTGCTTCTTGTAACTTTGTTAAGATGACAACACTACTGGCTGGGTATGTGGGGAGAATATTTAATTAAACAGAATGGTAGTTTATTAACTTACAGCAAGAAGAGAAGGGAAAAGAGGGAGAGTTTTTTTATATATTTTACTGTGTGAGTGGGGAGTAGTAAGCCTACAGGTAAATCTTAATTTCTGAGCACTGATAAATAGATAAGGTTTATATTGTGAGAGAGAAAACATGTTACACTGGACAGGAAGCTGACCTATTGCTTTTATAAAAGGGTATTTCAAGCAAAAATACGTATTTCAGAGAGCGTGTCTGTGTTTTCTGCATGACAAAAACACTCACCCATGACTTCCCATTGCCTCTTAATGTTTGCTGTCTTTGATACAGTTTTGTAACACTGGTGCTCTACTAACAAACTTCCAGGCATGAACGAATACATACTAGAAGACCTTACCATGTGGATGGAGCTGACAAGTCCTCTCTAGATGATGATCTGGTAAACCTAGAAGTTCTAGATGAGGTACTGTACTGTCTGAGTAGGAGCTTCTGGCAATTGTGCCTCACATGTTGCCTGTTTCTGCTTTTTAGGCTTCTTTTAACAGAATGAGAAGAGTTCCTTCTTGCAAGCTTTTCTCTCACCATGGCAAAGGAATTATCACGTGACTGATCTGCTGTCATCACTTCGTTAATGTTCTATATAGTAACATAAAAGCAGTAACGGTGAATCCTGTTATGTGGAAGAATTTAATTATGAGTGATGCTAGTTTAAATTATTTTGTGAGTTTCCTAAAACATGAAGTTTAGTCATGAAGATCGAGATTTAAGTGATCTTTTCCTAAAATTGTTTAATTTATATAAAGTAATATGGTATCTACAGCTTCTGGATAAAAAGCCATAAAACAGCATCAGTTGCATATTTCACTGTATCACCTATATGCAGAGTATCTGTAAATTTTTGGTTTGATGCTCCTTAAATTGCATGCCAGCAAGAAAAAGACATAATACTAAATTGTGCTAGTGTCCTGTTTAAAACAGTCTCTTATTACCACTTAAGATTTAATCCTTGAAAAATTATCATCCTTGTTTCATGGTCAAATAAAAAATTAGATGGAAATGTACTATGAAGTGCAGCAATAATGTGCATGGCCTGCATTTCTCTTCAGAAGGTTTGTTTCTCAGACTGATATAACAAAATATGTTCTAATCTGGAAATAGGACTTGCAATTTCACTTAGTTTTATGGCATTAGCAAGAATTTTGAAAATATTTTTTTAGTTTTGTGGTGTTGGCATTTGAAAAATAATTAGTAACACTTACAGTAAGTATTTCTTAATCAGTGTCCTCAGTATATTTACAAAAATCTTCCTAAATGGGAAAATACTGTTTAACTATCAAACTTTTTGTAATCTTCTCAGGATACAATTATCCATCAGCTGCAGAAACGCTATGCTGACTTACAAATTTATACTTATGTTGGAGACATTTTAATAGCCTTAAACCCCTTCCAGAATCTCAGCATTTATTCTCCCCAGGTAAGAGAGATTCCAAGCTGTGGACAGGACTCACTTTACATTTTATATTAACACCACTGACTAAAATACTTATTTTAATACTTAAAATAATGTTGCAAGCTAGGAGCACAGACTAAACCCCAGACTTTTCTTCTTCCAGAAAAGTGTGGCTACAAATCTTTTTGGGTTTTGGTTATTTGTGGGTTTTTTTCTAAATTCAGTCTCATTTGATTTCATTCCTTTCTTGTTGGTGGCACAAATTCCACAGGAGAGATGAAGATTACCCCAGCCACAGCTGTGCCTCTTGTCTGGCATTTAGGGCTTTCATCTGGGCAACAAGATGGTTGTATGAACCTCCTCCTGCTGAGGCTGTTACTTCCTGAACAATTGCTCTGACTGTTGGGTTGTTACATGTCCTGTGCCATAAGCTGCTGCTTAAATGAAACAAGTGAATCAAATGCTGTAAAGATAGAGGCAGCTTAATTCCCTACAAATATGAAGGGAAGTGGAGCCATAAATGGTCTCCATGGGTGCCTAAATCAGGGTTGCAGGTAGAGGGGCCAGATTTCAGATTCACTGGTTTTTTTGAAGTTTCTTTTGTATAGGTTGGGTATTTCATTGGTTGAATGCTTATGTTGAAATTCTGTTCCTTGTGATACAGTTCTTTTCACTGCCTTGTGCGGGAAATATCAGGGTGCGTTTTAGGTTTTGTAATTTGTATTCTGGAAGTTGGGCAGTGCCAAGAATTACCACTCTTCTTCCAGGTGATTCAGTGGAAATTCTGTGGTAAAACGGGCAACTACCTTCTGTTGAACAGCAAGAAGATAGTCACTATCCTCTTTTTCAGTTCTTAATTATGTAGCTAAGTTGTGCATTTTGACTATTGTGCGTTCTTTTAAAATTCTAGTTCTCCAAGCTTTACCACGGTGTGAAGCGTTCATCAAATCCGCCCCACATATTTGCCTCTGCGGATGCTGCTTACCAAAGTATGGTTACATTCAGCAAAGATCAGGTAAGAATCTGATAATTTTGGTTTAGATTTCATACTAATTGTACTGCCACTATGCTACATGGCTACGGCTAATATTCTGTTATGTTGTACTTTGGGAAATTTTTTCTTTAGGCCTTTTATTCCTACATCAGGAAAACTGGAGTAGAAATCTAGTCAGGTTTGGGAATTCTGAAGAGGACACTGTGGCATAAAACACTGAAAGTTCAAATAAGGTGATAGGATTACCTGACCATTATAGTTTCCTGGACACCCATGAAGTCTTGGAGCTGACACCAGCTGCAGAGTGTTGCTGCACACTGATTCTAGCCTGTCTTGCACTAGGTATTGAAATAATTTACACCTGTGTAAAATAGGACGGTCTCAATGCCATAGCAGATTAACAGTTTGAACCACTTTGCTGCTGCATAAAGACACTATCAAGCAACGGATTATCAATTCCTTTAACTACAAGTCACAAAATATAGGAACCATCAACTCGGTTTTTTTAGTAAAATATATGAAGGATAGGTCTAATATAAATGTAATAAGGACACAAATCCAATTATATAGCAATGATTTTAATGAGAATGAAATACTATGCTGTAAAAGCTAGATTTCTTTTTATTACATTCTTAACATTCTAACTTTGTACTCTTTCTGATTTGATGTGCTGTATGTACATGACTATTGGGGGCTAATAATTAATTTCATTTATAAAACCCTCCTGACTTTACCCTGCACATCACATAACAATTCATAGAAAATGCCTTTTTAAAATCACAAAAGCAGACTAAAATAACAAAAAACCTGCAATCAGAAAATACTAAGCAAAGAAGACAAATAAAAGGGACATTGAAGATGAAGAAAAAAGGACTTCTACTGAGTATGTGGAAGTACACTGGCCTGAGAGATGGCTAGTACTTCTTTAATGGTTTATATGCTCTTTGATGGAGGCAGTAAAGAAAACAAGTACTCATGTAGAGTGAAGTTATGTGAGAACTTGTTATCTGGGGAAGAAAATTAGTTTTGACATCAGCCCATCAGACTAACTTTGTACATCTTTAATACTATACCTTTCTTACCCATTTAGGAAGTAATTGGGATTTAGATCTAAATCAGTTTCCTATTTTCTGTTTGCAAAGGATTACAGGAATATGTTTATGTCCTGTCATGGTTTAGCCCCAGCCGACAACTAAACACCACGCAGGCTCGCTCACTGCCCCCTCCCCCAGTGGGATGGGGGAGAGAATTGGGAAAAAACTTGTGGGTTGAGATAAAAACAGTTTAATAGGACAGCAAGAGAGAAGGAAACAACAATGATAACAACAATAATAATACCAACAAAGGAATGTACAAGAACAAGTGATGCCCAATACAGCAATTGCTCACCACTTAGTGATCGATAGCCCATCCCCAAGCAGCAATTTCCCCCGCCCCTGGCTAACTCCAGTTTATGTACTGGGTGTGACGTTATATGGTAGGGAATATCTCTTTGGCCAGCCTGGGTCAGCTGTCCTGTCTGTGTCCCCTCCCAGCTCCCCATGCACCCCCAGCCTTCTTGCTAGCCGGCCAGCACAGAAGCTGGACTGTCCTTGACTACTTAGCAACAGCTCAAAACATCAGCACGTTATCAACATTTTCTCATCCCAAATCCAAAACATAGCCTCACACTAGCTTCTGTGAAGAAAACCAACTCTATCCTGGCTGAAACCAGGACATCTCCATTACCTGGCCACTGTTATGTTGGTTCTTCAGGTAAAGGTGCATTAGATAAACACTGTAGCCAGATCAAAAATCAAACAGATTCTGTTTGTTTTATCCATTGAGGTTTCCCTTGTATTTTCCTGTGAAGCCTGAAAATTGACTCTGGGTCTGACATTTCTCCTGAAGCTAAAGTCAAGTTCTGTCCAATTCCTCAAGAGTTTTCTGAGTTATATAAGAGCTTATGGGCTTTAACTGTATAAACTGTTGTACATGACTTCTCCAGTCACACGAAGAGAATTAAGTTAGGTATCGTAACCATGTAAATCCATCGTTGGGTTATCTGTTTCCAAGAACAACAAAAATGCCCGACAAGAAGCAAATAAATGAGCTGCAAGTGTCATATTGCACACATTATTTAGAGTCAATACCTGCTCATGCTCCTGGTCGAAGGCACCACCAGAGAACTGCTACATCTTTCAAACCTTTTCAGAAAGCTCAGTTCTATATGAAGTGTCATTATTGCATCAAGTATTTTAGGACCTTGTATTTTCTCCCAGCCAGGAATCTTGTATGTTCACAGTATGGTGCGAATAATTTTCAGGTGTTTGCATAAAAAAACCACAAATCTATGCAACTGCTCATTGTTAACAGTTTAATTATATGTCAGTTGATACTGTACCTTAAGTAGACTAATATTTGTACTGGTGAACACATGAAAAAAATGGAAAAATAATAAACGCTGATAGCGTTATTGTGTGCTATGACCTGAAGTGTTCACGCTTCAGTATTCAGGTGTGAACTGGCCTTCAGGGTGTACTGGCCTTCTACTTCCATCTCGTCCAGGAAGTGTAACAGCAGAAAGGATACCAAGTAGTTTAGACCATTCTAGCTAATCCCTGAGTCTGGTAGCCATCTGGAGAGCCTATAAAATACCACTAAGGTATCAATGACTGCTGACTCAGGAAGAAGATGGGTATGTTCTCCCAGAATCATCCAGTGAACAGATGCCTATTTTTCTGAAAAACTTCGATGCTAGTTTGCTGTTCTAGATTGAATATCAGCATCACCTACAGAATAACCTCTATTTATAGCAGTAATTATTTAAGATAATTTTTAAAGCCAGGAGCAGACTTTTGGTCAGTGTATTAAATACAGCTGTACTGTGTTTCATGTTAATTTATATAAAGTCAATGCAGTAAGCTCAGACACGCTGTTGAATTATGTCCCATCAACTGAGCTGTGGCAATTTTCTGAGTTTTAAGCATTTGAAACAAGCTGCAGATGTGCATAGCGTGCTTTAGCCTGTAGACGTGGTCACTTGTTTATATGTCTTAGCCCTTAGAAATTCAATCACTGCTTCACACATTTGCACACTGCTATCAGGAATTACAAGGCACATTTTAGTAATCTAGGGAATAAATTATTACACAGAGCCTTTGCTGGTCTTTCCTTTCAGAAGGGAGTTGAGGGAGTTGACCCTTAAAGTATTTTGTAGTCTTGATACTAAACTTTAAATAACAGATAGGAGCAGCAATAGCTGAAATCGACCATGAGGTGAGCTGTGCACTTAACTGTTTTGTTTTGTGTGTTCAGTGCATTATCATCAGTGGGGAAAGTGGTGCTGGAAAGACAGAAAGTGCCCATCTGATCGTCCAACATTTGACCTTCTTGGGAAAGGTATTTCTTGGCCAATCGTGTAAAACTCTGAACAAATCCTTCCAAACCCACCCCCAATTTCCACTTTATTTAATCTTTAATACCTAAAGCTGGTCATGTGAATTGTCCCACTTGAGTTAGGAATGGAGGAATCATGCATGTGAGAGTATTGAATTAAGATACTAGAGTATGACCCACACCAAGACATTCAATATTTGTATAAAGAGAAGGTGCCAGATCCTGAGTGTTTAGTGCCTGTAGTTAACTACAGTGTTTATCACATATACTGCTGTTCATTTATACAATAAAGAATAACAGATCTTGCTATGGCTCTAATCTTAGAAGCTTTTACACCTTTAAATGTTATGAATAATGCTATTAGTGCAAAATGATGGGAATATCAAGTGTGAAAGGTTAACCTTAAGTAGACGTGGTTTTGATAGTTTTAGTACTCCAATTATATGACACCTCAGAGGCAGAACAATTGCAGAGGAAGAAGAATCTGGTTTTTCCTACCTGTGGGAGACTTCCTCATAAATTTGTTGGTCCTGTTGTTGTATAAATAGAAAGGTTAGCGCAGTATCTAAGTCCACAGAAGCATGAGAAAGGGATGCTATACTTCTGAAGCAAGAATTGGATTGTGGGTAGGCAATGTATTCTTGTAATGATCGTTCTTATCTGTATCTGTTCTATCAAGGCCAATAACCGTGCTTTGCGTGAGAAAATTCTTCAGGTGAATCCTCTGGTTGAAGCATTTGGGAATGCCTGCACTGCCATCAATGACAACTCAAGTCGCTTTGGAAAATATCTGGAAATGATGTTTACGCCCACGGGAGCTGTAATGGGGGCAAAGATTTCTGAATATCTACTTGAAAAATCAAGGGTCATAAAACAGGCTGTGTAGGTATATTAATTCTCTGTCCTTTCACAGTTATATACTGTTCGAATTCTGTTTAACTCTCCAAAATTTTTATTTTAAATGCTTTGGTGTCTTCTGCTAAAGCAGCGATCCTTTGTACAGTGCTATGATGACAAGAACAGTCAGTTAGGTTCTTTTGGAGCGGAAGCCAGGGCTGCTCCACTGGGTTTTCTGTGTTTCACAGTTGCTGATCCTACACCATAAAAACAAGTGGGATACTTGCTACCTACTTCAGTGAGCTCATGATAAGAACTTCTACTTTTACACTGTACAAGACACCACAAGAATAAACGTGTGCTTTAAAAGGGTGTTTTTTTTTCCAGGGGAGAGAAAAATTTCCATATATTTTATTATATTTATGCTGGCCTTTATCATCAGAAGAAACTTTCTGAATATAGACTTCCTGATAAAAAGCCTCCTAGGTAACTATCACTCACTTGTTTTAACTGCTCACTGTAATTAGCTATTGATCAACTCTTGCTTTCAGTATGATGCCTTAAAATCTCTCTTAATCCTTCTCCATCCCTTAAGGATCTTTTTTAATCCTCCCAAGCAAAGAAGAGGATGGACAATAAGGCATTACATTATTCGTAGTTGTTTGAGAGCTTGAACTGTTTAAAAAGGAAGAGGAAGAATCAAGCTTATTATTATGTAGATATTCTGTCATACTTTCAAATCAGGACAGTCACCTTATGATTTCTTACTGTAATGTTTCAGTAAGAACCCAGAATATGCTTGGGACTTTTGGTTTTTAATTTGTATTTGTACTTTGGGTGCATCTGAGCTGTATTGTGTGAGGGAGATGTGTGTGAAATGTTGGTAGCGCTATAATAGATATTAATAAATAATAAGCAAAGTTAGTGCAACAGAAACAAAAACTTCTTATGAATTAGCACCAAAGTATAAAATTGGAAGATATTGAAATAAATGTTCTTTCCAGTTACTGAGGTACTTGTAAGTCACTGGCGGTTGTACAGGCATATCTGCTAGTACCGTGCTTGCTTTCTCCCATTCTATTTAGGTATATTGATAATGAAACTGGAAGAGTAATGCATGACATTGTTACTAAAGATTCCTATGGAAGACAATTTGAAGCAATTCAGCATTGCTTTAGAATTATAGGATTCACTGATGAGGTAAGAGATCCAATTGCTAAACCATTATTGACATCCTTTATAAAAGCCATCTCCGATGCTGCCTTGCACAGGCTGCCATTTGGTTTTGTGGATACACACCTATGCCACAGAATCTCCTTTATGGCAGAAGTGAACTGTGAAAGCGTAACCACACACTTGGAAGCCAAGACCAGACTGAGATCTCAGTTCGTACCCAGGCAAGTCCGTTCACAATTCTGTATCACACAGTTTTCTGTGTCAATAGGAGCTTACTTGAATTTGTAGAACTTGGTCTCAGAGCAAGCTACAAGGTTTAATAGCCATTCCAGTGCCCATCTTTTTCTTTCACAGCCTAAATATGATCTATGTATCTAATTGGATTCCTTAAAAGTGCTTCTTGTAATCTTTTACAGGAAGTGTACTCAGTGTACAGAATTCTGACTGGAATCTTAAATACTGGAAATATTGAGTTTGCTGCCATTTCTTCACAACACCAAACAGATAAAAGTGAGGTTCCCAACCCAGAAGCCTTAGATAATGGTAAATACATTTTAACATTGTCAGTTCTGTAAATGCAATTTGACTGTTGTTTGTGAGAATCTGTAACTCATGGTAACAGTTGGATAATGCTGACAATTTCCACTGTATAATTACAGTTGTGTATCTTTTTTCCACTGTCTTTTAGCTGCCGCGCTACTAAGTATTGGGTCAGAAGAACTTCAAGAGGCCCTAACCTCCCACTGTGTTGTAACACGAGGAGAGACTATTATCCGAACAAACACCGTGGACAAAGCAGCTGACGTGCGAGATGCCATGTCTAAAGCACTTTATGGCCGGCTCTTCAGCTGGATCGTAAATCGTATTAATACGCTGCTTCAGCCAGATAAAAATATATGGCAAGTTACACATCACAGAATCATGTGTATTTACTGTGCATATGTCTTTGATGGGTTCATCCATTTGTATATTTTTTATTTTGCAGAAAGGGTGCTGTATTTATTTTGGCTAAGGCTTCCAAATGGCTTTCATGCTGTGATACTGAATTCTGTTTCCAGGACATTAACCCCAGCATTTTCAAAGAGCTCAGTGGAATTTGACTAGTGAAGTCAATGGAAATTGGGTGGTTTGAGTGCTGTACAATTCTTTAAAAAGATGCTTCCTATGTAGCGAATGTTAAAATCATACCAAAGACTGGTAAATAATTGGGGTACACTGAAAAACTTTAGTATGTATTCACAGTCCTTACAGTTCTTCTGGCTTTGTAAGCTAGAAATAAATACAGATCTCTGATTATTACTGTGCTGCTACTTGAGATGTAAGTGATGATTTTTTTATTTTTCATAATTACAGAAACGTTCACATTGTGCATCTTATGATTTCATTGCCAGGTACTGATCTGGCTGCTTTGGTCTTTTAAAGCAGTTGTAGAGATTTTTTAAAAACAAGAGAACCCCTTAGGTGATGTGTAAATGCCTCTGATCTGAGACATCTACTTGGCACTTCACTATATCATATAGACATGTCCTCATCCATACTTGCCGTTCTAGTGGTGACTGTGGTACTGTGGTATAAGTATACTTGAGCTAGCACATGGTCTCTTTACAGTCTAGCTTGTAGCAACAGCTGACTTGGTAATTACCCTTCTGACTGAGTATAGCAAAAACACACTATTAAAGCTCGACACCTTTTGTCTACCTGGAGGAGCAGACAATAGATTTTATTTGGGATCTGCCTGTTGAAACCACTTGTTTTAATATGGCTGCTAAGTGTCTGTTACCGTGTACCTATGATTCTGCTGCCTTCTTCATGGAAATTTGCAATAAGCCAGTGGAAAACAAAAGTGTTAACAATGCTAAACAAATACACAAGTTGTCTTAGGTTCAGACACACTTTTTCTCCTTTCTTCTTGCAGCAGACCGAATCAATTATGTAATCTTAGTTACCATGTTTATTTTTATTTTAACTTGGTGTTGCTCGTGATGGATTTTGTTTTGTATTTTCACATGCAGCAATGCTGAAAATGGGATGAATGTTGGGATACTAGACATATTCGGATTTGAGAACTTTGCAAGAAATTCCTTTGAACAGCTGTGCATAAATATTGCTAATGAACAGATCCAGTTTTATTTCAATCAACATATCTTTGCACTTGAGCAGGTAAATTCAACTCTGATGAGGTCTAGTTGAATCAGCCATCCTGAACAATAGATCATATTCAGGAGTACATTATAAACTATAAAATGGGTATGTGATTTAAATGCAAGATAATGACATCTTTTAGTTAAGTTGTGTAAATAATGTTGTTGGGGCCTATAGAGTATTGCTGGGCATCATAAATGTCCTAATGATGATGTTGCTTTTACTAGTTCAATATTAAAACTGTCCTGATGACTTTGTAGATGGAATATCAGAGTGAGGGAATTGATGCTACTACAGTGGAGTATGAGGACAACCGTCCACTTCTAGATATGTTCCTCCAGAAACCCATGGGTCTCCTGTCTCTACTAGATGAAGAAAGTCGATTTCCTCAGGCAACAGACCTAACTTTAGTTGGTATGTGCAAACAAAAATTCTGGGAAATAATAAATGTATTTTGGGAGGATGGAATGACATCTTTACTCAAGTTTTACTAACCTAGATGTCCTACTGAGGCTGTGCCATTTCATTTGATATTTTAAGTATATTTTTCATTGTGATTCATCATTTTTGTCTGCTTATGTGTCTTTTGTTCTTTTTATATTGCCAAAGTTATATGTCAGATGTCAAGGGCTAACTGACTTTCCAGTGTTACAAGGAAAGAACCTGTGTCTTGTCCCTGTATGTGAGGTACATCAAGCAGCACTGATCCCCATTTACTGAAGGGAAGGCTGAGACAGAGTAGAATCTTGTGTCTAGGACCACCCTGTGAGCAGCATTAGTGTTGAGAGTAAAATTTAGATCTCCCAGGCTCCTAGGGCCATGTTTATCCAATTAGAAAATACTGCTTCACTCCAGATTATCTCATCATAAATAGAAAATGTGTGTTATTTCTGGTGTGCCATCTGGCTGAATATTTCCCTTCCTTCATGCATATTTTATGTATATTTTAACAAATCTTGATGCCAACTTTAAAACATGCAGCACATACCATGTTTAAAACTGTTATCTTGCTGTTATTTACTAGAGCTACATTTTTCCCTGCAATATGAAACAGAGGGTTCCAGTTCCTTCAGTGGAGGGTGCAGCAAACTCAAACTGTTAGTCAGAGAAAAATAACAGCTGCCTGTTAAATTGCTCGATACTTGTATAAGATTTTTCACTTCTGCTAGGCTGAGTTGAAACTTGAATTTATGTCACAGATAGAATGAATGCTGTGGTTTCATTCCAGTCTTCATTTGTGTACTAAAGCTGTGTGCCTCCCTGTGGGTCCTATAAATCAGTTAATACTGAATACTGAACTTACACTTTCAAAGGGGCACTTTCCTTGGTCCAGTGCCGATCAGTCTTACTGCTGATCTGTACATAGTCCAGCAGGAGCCCTCAAGGAGACAGCAGAGTGGAATGTGTCGCCCTCTCCAGATGTGCCAGACAATCATTAATTCCACTACCCTCTACTCTGCCCCCCCAAAATTCCAAACTTAGTTCTTTTCGCTTTAGATACAAGCTTGATTAAATGTTAATAGAAAGAAAAACCTAACACAAAATATTAATGGATTCTAACATTAGAAAAAATATTTTTATAATATTTTCTAACCTACACAATATGACAGAGAACTTTATCAATTGATTCTGACCTCAGATCTCTAGTTGCTTGTTCAGATAAAGAGATATAATAGCAAGTTTTACAGTATCAGCACTAAGATAATTACAAAATATTAAAAAGCATACAAAATATCACAGGGCAGAAAAGACTTTTTTCTTAGAAAGTGGTGGGTTTTTTTCTGTCAGCTCTTAGGGGTAGTCACAGGAAACAGAAGGCCTCTTTAGAAGATGTTTTAGATAGAAGCCTCATTTCTGTAGAAGTCCAAAGGTAAATGAGAGATGATCCCAGCTAGAAGATATTAACATATACTTAAAACATGGTGTACAAAGCTAAATGAATGGGGAAAGGAAGATAGGGAAAATACAGATATAGGCATTTAAGCAAGCAAGATATATGCACAGCTTTGAATGTACGTAATTGAAATAAACCCACCCCAAACCATATATATACATATAAGCAAATTCATAGCAAAATATGAAAAGTTGTCACCCCTTCTCATTGGCCCCTCTTATTTGATAGCTTTCCATGCTCAAAACTATCCACAAACAGCGGGGTTTGAAAGAAAGTCTTACTGGGCTAGTTTAGAATAAGCTGTTCCATTCAGAAGTGGCAGCTTGGAAGAAAGCGCAGAGAAGCTGGCACACAGCTATTTCTGAGAAATCTGGTAATATATGTGTTTATAGTAGTTCTGGCTTCTTAAGCAGCAAACTGTCCCTAATTAGGATGAAGATTTTACTTGGTCACTCTAAGTCAGTTATATCGGTGTCTCTTCTCAATGTCTAGATAAATTTGAAGATAACTTACGATGCAAATATTTTTGGAGACCAAAAGGAGTAGAACTGTCATTTGGTATTCAGCACTATGCTGGAAAGGTAAGGTCATATGATTTTTATTTACTTCAAATAACAGTGGTATGGTCATTATGTGTTTTTATCCAAAGTTTCTGCTTTATGATTTTGACTGTTCACATTTTAAAGAACCTAGTAGATTTTGGGTAACCCTTTTTGGTAACTTTTCTGATTCGCTTTCCCATCCTAGGTATTATATGATGCCTGTGCATTCCTTGAGAAGAACAGAGACACTCTTCCTGCGGATGTAGTGGTGGTGTTGCGAACTTCGGAGAACAAACTTCTTCAGCAGCTGTTCTCTAGCCCATTAACAAAAACAGGTATTTTCTGCACAGCTTTGCTAACATTGCAACCTCTTTAGCTACCTACTCCTCTAAAACCCTAATTGTTTCTGGACACGTTTTTTAAAGTTCTTTTTCAGCTCTGCTGTTTAAAGTTTCCTAGATATCTAAAATGTTATGATCATGTTGAGTTTTTTTAAATATGTGGGCATGTATTCTTCTAAAAAGCCCAGGCAGCAAGATCCATCCCTCAGTCCAAAGAAAGGGAGATTTTCTGATGTGTGGGGCAAGAACTCATTCTCAGAGCAGGATGAGAATATGGGAGTTTCTGGATTCTTAGTCCTTTACTAAGGTCAGTTCTCAGTTGATAGATTCTTGTGTACCACGTCTTAGCAGTTCTTAAATCATGTGATGGTAGATTAAGTTGTTTTGGAGGTAATATCCATCTATTTAGATGCATTGATGCAATACATAAAGTTTCTTACAAATCCTAAAAACCAGATATGAATCTGCTAGAATTAATTAATTCAGTTGATTTAAAGCTTGTTGAAACTGATTTACATGAAAGTGCACAGATTTATAGCAAAATAGAACAGCAAGATGAAGTTTGACTCCATGGATAGATGCCAGAATATCAGTAACCTATACAAATCCTAGTTCTGCAGTATACATGCAAACAAGCCAACAAATATACTCAATACTTTCTCCATTTTTAAAGTATCTTTTTTTATAGTGGGTAAGAAGAAGATATAATGCTAAGGAATAATCTAAATATGATGGATTGTATTAGGCTGCAAAATTCTTGTGATCTGATATGACATATGCAAATGAGGTTGTATTTTTAGGTAGAAATAAGTGTACATGCATTAGGTAATGCTCAGTAGGCTTATGGGCTGTAGATGCAGTTCTGTGCCTGTGCTCTGTCTGGGATTTCTGGACCCTCAGCAGCCCAGTCATAGCCCCTGGTGATGCCTTTAACCTCTCTTGAGATTTCTATGTAGAAAAAGAACATCTGGAGAAAAAAGTATATTGGAGCCTTCTTTGCACATGTAAAACTGATAGCAAAATATCTGTTTGTATTTTACATAGGATAGATTCCTGGTACATTGTCTCTGTTCTTTTCCTGTAATTAAAAGGCTCTGGATTACCCTCCTTCCAATTATGCTTTTAAAGGTCCCTGAGAGGTGAGGATCCAATGAGGAATCTGCTTCTCCTTTCAGCTATGACAAGCCTAGATGGAGGGTGATATAGTTTAAGATGGAGTAGGATTGATTTGTGCCCAAGTGGGGAACAAATAATTTTTCTGTCTACTTCTGACATTTGAGTCAATGTTAAACTAGTAAAAGAGATTCTTTTACTCACGCTGAATGGATCAAGGAAAGCAAAAAAGAAAGCTCACATCTGGTCAAATGTGCCTCCACACCCCTCTTTACTAGCCATTTTATACCTTGGAGCTCTTGTCAGAATGAAACAGATTAGGTGCTTTGTCCTAGTTATCAGTCCCAATTATTGTAAATATTATATTTTCGATTGTATTGCTATTTTAAAATCAGAATGCTGATGCTTTCATGCAAATATATCTTCCTCTGGCTTTTTAGAGATATTTTCAGTGGCAGCAGCACTGAACTTGGGTATTTTGCCCAAGATGCATAAAGGTTCAGTAAGAAGATACTTCTCATTGCAGTAATGTATAGTTACCAGGTTGATGTATTTCCACTTTTTTGTTTTGTCTCTTACGTTCATTCCTTGTTTCCTACTGACACGAATTGCATGCTTTCTGCCTCCCATTATAGAACATTTACCTTTCCATGAAGAGCACGCAGCAAGTTGAGCGTTGTCTGTATTTCTGTCAAGTTGGTACAGGACATCCTGTTAAAAAAGTTATTGTACATATGCTCCTGTGCATGGTGTTATAAGAATAGCTTAAAACCCTTATGTCATTTTTGTTTTTTAAAAGTCTTTGTGATTTTGCTGTATTTTTTCCAGCTGTCTAATATAATTGGCACTCACATCCTGTGTTGGGGCCTCTGTGTTCTAAAATCAGATTGTTGCCAGGTTTAGTTTTGGCAGCTTGCAAGATAAATGAAAGGTTTGGCTGAGAACAGAAGGTATCGCTGGCAATGCTGCTTCATCTCTGCTCAGTGAAGAAAGATAATGCTATTCTCTTAACTTTCTACAAAGAGGCTTTTGTAAACAAAAGAATAGTGACTGTGTAAATGTCTCATCATGCTCTGTCCTTGCCTCGTAGCCCCCTTCCCTCCACTCTACATATGCTTCATTCCTAAAGCAAATCAGAAAAAAATATGGATTAAGATTCATGATCTTGATACAATTTTCTCCAGCTTTTTGTAGATTACTGACTGATGCAAAAGTTAATAATTTACATGGAAGCCATATTGCATCTTTCCAGGTAACCCTGGCTTGAAATGAGCCTTCTGCCAGTATCTCTGGTGTTTTGTTTGAAGATGAGTGACAGCACATTCTCACATCTGCTTGCAACTAGCTCTGGAATTTGCAGCGTAGGTGGTTTTTGCCGAGCAGCAATCTCCAATACGTGTAATAGTCACTAGGTGGTGCTGTCCCAGAAGCAAGAGGAAATTTCAGACTGGTAACATGGGTCTGACAATTGCTGAAAATGTAGTTCTTAAATACCAGTAAGAACAAAAAGATGCCTTTCCCACCCTGAGAAGATCCTCTGTTTGAAGTATATTTATATAACTGTCATGTATTCCGCTGTCAAAAACTGAGCAGCAGCAAGAAAATAAATATTAAAGAGACTAAATTCTTTTACTAATTTAAGATCATGTTAATCCCTGTAATTTATCAAATATACTTATCCCCTCTTAACAAATGGTTCTATTTCACAGAAGCAGACTGTGTAGTTTAAAGGGCCAGAAATTAACAGCAGGACATTAAATATACATTTGTAGTAGTAATTTATGGTTAAGAGAGTGCACAATTACTGATATGAGACACCAGAATTTAAACATTCTGGCACTAATTTTGTAGTGTGTACAGCATGTTTTGTCATTTTTCAGTGGAAACTTAGGCACGTTCAGCACATTTTGGAATCTGTTTGCACTTTCTAGGGACCTTTAACCTCAAAACTGAACAAACATAATTCTGGTTTAACCTATCAATTCTCCCAATTGCTTCCATATTTGTCACTTTTTTTCTACAAACACAGCTTCTCATGCTGAAAATTCTGTATATTCTAGAATTAAAATAGAATTTACTTTAAATGCAAGAGAGAAGTAGAGCATTTAAAAAAAAAAACAAGGTAAGTTGCCACTACTCCAGTTGAATATGCATGTTCCCATTCAGACATAATGCATTCCTGTTTGTCTCTAGAGTTAGTTTATCACTGTTGCACCTAAAGCATCAGAGAGAAAGGAATCATGTGATCTAGAAAATCGAGTCCCCTTGTAAGAGAAGAGGGCTTTAATCAGAAAAATTAAGGAAGGCCTTGGTACATTTACTAGTGGTATCTGTGAGGAGTCAGACCATTTGACTCACTGTCCTGATACTCAAGAATTTTTTGCAGTATCACCGTGAAGTGGTGGTACCACTGGACTGCTTGGGCAAAGCACCACTGGGGCTTTTTGAGACTGCAGTTCCCCTTCCACTTTTTCTTTCTCTTACCTTATGTTCCCCAGCTGACCAGATCATGCTGGCGGAGGTGTGCCAGAGAGGCTTCATCTTCTCAGAAAAGCTGCAGCATAACATGATTCTCTACTCTTGAAACAACCTCTGCAGACTTTTTCCCCTTCTGTGACTCACAGACCTTTAGACCTTTTGTCAGGGTTGCTCTGTCTTAGGTTCTTGCTGGAGAGAGGGGGGAGATTTGCCACCTGGAGGGAGGGAAGGGGAAATTCTCCAGCGTTCCCATCACCAGAGCAGAGACTGGGAAATGTCCCTGTCCTAGCTCTGAGGATCTGTAGGGGCTGGGCTTGGCTACATAGAATAAAGAGCTGAGTACCATTACCTCTACAGCAACATCACGTCTAATGATTTTGGTAGCATTGGGTATTGTTCACACATTCAGAGTGATATAGTATCAATATATCATCCATTGCTAATAAACACTCCTTGTTCATGGTGCCTAGATATTTGAGCATAATTGTCAAAGAGAACTGGAATGAAAGTTTTCACAACCTTCACTGATGAGGTAGTATAATGATGTTTTAACAAGGGACTTTTTTTGTCCAAAACAGGAGGAAAATAGATTTTTTTCAAAAATGTATTAATTATAATTAGCCTGCGTAAAGGTCATTCCCCCTCCTCAGGATTGATTTTTAGTTTGTGTTCTTTGTGCCTTTGAGTCTCCAGCCCTGCTTACAGCCCTCAGACAAAAAGTAATTATAAACAATGTATATCTCATTAAAAAACCCCAAAACAAACAACTAACAGACCATGTGCTGAGAGAGAATGTGACAAAAATGTTTCAGGCTTTCTTTATGCACACTAAAGAACACAAGAACTGGGGCCTTTTGCAAAATCACTTTAAAGAACTTCTTTTCACCACTCCTTGGAGACAAGAGTACTATCTCAATATTAATCTGTCTGTAACTTTGATAGAAGCTGATGGCTTATGAAGAGTCGGAAATGGAGGGAAACAAAAGGATTTTCTTGCATTCTAGTCCCATGAACAGATAATACTGAGCACAGAGTGAAATCCTGATCAGTTGCAATAGTAGATACTTTGCCATTGTTTTCAGTGGAACCATGATTTTACCCATCATGTTTGTCACTGTGCACTCCTATTGAGTACAAGACCTTCCTCTAGCAATAAGTGGTGGCAGGTCTCTTGGCTTGGTGTGTGTCATATTTATGCACTGAAGTATAGCATGTTTCCATTTGGGCTTAGCAGATTTTTTTCTCCTAATTCCACACATCACAATAGAGCAAAAGACTCAAATACATCTTAATTTTACTAACTTATCCTACAATATAATCTTTTTATAATGGTTACTTTTATGTTAGTATTTTCACCTCTAAGAGATAACTGCAGGTGCTCTAAGTCAAATTAATTGGAAACAAAGCCATTGTAATTATAATCTCTCTACTTAGAGATGAATCAGAATTTATATTTTGTAAGAATTTGGATCAGGTTAATGGAAGCTATATATTTTAATTCGGGACACAGAGGCTTTCCTACTTCTAACTGGTCCATATGTTAAAAGCATATAAAAATTAATCGTTTTTGCTTTGCTGCCAGTGTGTTGTGTGCAAAGAGAAGCTTTAAACCACAGCTGTGCAACGTAACAATTGTGAACTTTACTGGGTTGCAGATGTGGGACATCAGTAAACTAAATTAAATGTAGCTTAACTGAGTTTGAGAGGTAGTGTTGGATTACTTCTTATTCTCTTTTTCAGTTGAGCATTTTACAGTTCAGTGTTTCTTTTTTTTCTTTTTTTCTTCTTCTTTCAGGTTTTGTGTCGTGGAACAAATGCAGTACACAGATACTCACAAGTATGCTAGCAGTAGAATCCAAAACATGCCCTAAAATAGCCCTAAAAATGGAACTCATCTAGAAACAGAACCATCTATCAGATCAAAGTTAAGCTCTCAGTCCTGCTAAAGCTTTATATAAGACATAACAATTATTTACTCTTGAGAATAACTCCCTATAAATAAGGAGCATCAGTGAATCTCTGGAATTGCACATGGTAGTAAACACAACCGCTGAGAAAGGTCAAGTTAGATTTATCATGTTTTTGTTTGGTAAAGGGTGTTGCCCAAGCAGAAGTCCGCTGTTTTTAATATGAGACTTCACAGATTACATTGTACTGAAAATGGAAAATGGACAAAGGGCATAGATTTTTTTTTTTTTGTCTCCAAGTGCTTGCAAATTGAACCCTAATAAAGTACAAGTGGGCATCTTTAAGAACAGGTCTTGATGGGCTTACTGATTTAATTCATAATAGGCCATTCTCTGTAGAAGAAATCTTGAGAATAATTTTTCTTTACCTTTCTCTCAGAAGAGAAGAGATATCTTTTCAATTTTCATATTTCTAGACCAACTTCTCAACTCTATAATGACCATTATCTCACAGTAGTCAACAATAATTAATCTTAACACTTCATTGTATAGTAATTAAATTCAAAATGTGTTGATATTGAGGATGCAAAAGATGTATTACACAGATGATGTAACTGTTTTTAATATTAACTAGTAGACTGTGGAATTGCACTGTGCAGCATATCCAGAATTTAAATAGAGAAATATTCAGAGAACACGATACAGTAGTTTTAATGAGTAGTTTGCTATGCAGTTTCTACAGGCAGTATGTGCTGTGCGGTCAAACTGTGTCAAAGATGCTCAGTACATCATTGGAAGTCTTCAGTAGCTCTCAAGATCAAATCCTAGAAGAGCAATTATTTTTAAATTTGCTAGTAAGTTTGTAGAGCAGATAAAGTTTTTGAATATTCAGATAACCTTTCTGATGTGAATATCCGTAATGTTTTTTGGTGTGTCCTTTACAAAGAACGTGCTTATATTTCCCACTCTTTCAAAATAATTGAATTAGGGGTTAATGTATCTAAGAGATTAATGTAGTTGGTAGAAAACAAACCTCTGAGTCTGTGCTGGATTTTGTATTTGTTTCAGAGTATTTTGTACTCTGAGTGTGCTGTCTTACTATGATTTTGTACGTTTATCCACTTCCTTCCTTCCTTCACCCTACAACAAACTGTAAAGCTCAGTACTTTACTAAACCACATTATCTTTTCTCTTATTATTTAACTTTGTCTTATTTATTCCAACCTGGCTTGGCTTGACGTAGGAGAGCTTATAACTGAACTGCCTGGACAGCAGGTCACAGTGTGTGTCAGAGACAGAAAATGCATTTGTGGTTGTTTGTATGAATGGCTATTTGTTTCATTAAGTGTGGAGATACAAATATAAATGAGAATAATGTTTTGAATTACCACAAAAATAACTGATTTTGTGCTACCTGTGATAATATATGGAAGTGCTGAGATCCAGAGGAGCAAATGTTCAGCTGAGAAGCCTTTGAGACTTGATTAAATTAGTAGTTAACAACATTAATGTCTAGATTTCAAAATTGGGGAGGCCTAGGACTTTCATAAATTTCCGTAACCATGTTTCATCCTAAATTAAGACTTTTAAAAGACAGCTTTTCTCTTGAAGTGTCAAAACTGGTTTTGACACCATTTTCATCCTGTCTGGTTTAGGGTCTTAATCACTGAGAATACTGATAGTCATAGTGAGGTCAGAGAAAATGTTCCTCCATTTTGTTCCACATGCTTTCAGTGACATCTTTATACCTGCATTTTTACCACTGAATTCTTTGGGAATCTTCACTGGCTTTAGTATGATTTTGATCAGATCGTGTGTGTATGGAGCAACTTCAGCAGCAGGTCCTAAGTGATGAAATATATACTATAAAATGTTTTATACATTGTATGTAGAGGGAACATACTCTGGAAATACAAACAGTGGGCTGGAAATTACAATTCTTGACTTCTCCTGGGTTTCCTGTTTATTCACTGTTCTTGCAGAAAATTATTTTGGCCTCAAGTTAGACTGAGTACTGTGAAACTTAATTAGTGTTTGAGGACAGTTTTGAGATCATCAGAGACAAGATGCTGAGGTGTGAGCTACCAGAATGCTTGCTCTTGGTTCGTGTTGGTGAGGGAGCATAGAGAAAATATTGAGATAACTACCATGTTCTTCATAATCAAATTTTTACTTTTCTATATAAAGCATATGTGATTTTGGAGGGAAAGAGAAAGGATGGCAATTACATAAACCAATGAGGGAGACCAAAGCTGAATCAGCATGTGTGGTAACCGTATTTTCAACCTGTGTTGAATGTATGTGTTTTTAGAAGTATTCTTCCACATACCTCTGGAAGAAATAAACTTCTTGTGTGTCCTGAATAGAGGTAATTAGAATAAGTGGGTTTTGGCTAATGTTGGAAATTAGTGGAGTATTCCTCAACAATGAAGTGTTCACAGAAAATACACATCTGTAGTTTTCTTCTAATCTCAGTTACAGATGTGGTACAGGAACCAGGGCAATCTGCTGAGGCAACAGAAAACCTTGTCTTGGTGGTGAGGTACTTTGCCGATGACACAGACTGTAGTGTTCTGTACTGTCTGCTGTTACCCAGAGATTTCAAGGTTTGTTGTCCTCAGTAGATTACATACAACAGCATCAAATCATACGCTACCAAAGATGAGGATGGAAGTTACTAAGGACTATATCTGAAAGAAATGGCCTATGTCTTCTGACAATGTATAAATCATAAAAAACTGAGCCACTTCGTTCTGTAATGCAGCAGCTGGGAGACTGACCAGATCAGGCTGTGGCCAGCCTGTCAGTCAGTCTCCAGCTAGTTAGTCAGGTCTCCAGCTAGTCAGGCTACAGACCTGACTAAAGAAAATACTGAGCATCAAGCAGTAGAAACTCCAGCATTTTTTACACTATAACTCCTAATTGCTTTTTCAGAACTTTTTTTTTTTTTTTCATTTTAAAATGAAAAGATTGCAGTTTTGTATAGTTAGCGCTCAGCTGTATTTTGTGTGCCACTCTTCTCATTAGTCCTGTGTTTGGACAGAGGTGCCCAACCTATGCCCACTTGGCTGTGGCCAGATAAAGAGTTTATCCAGCAGGCAATCCACTCCCCCTCTGCCACCCTCTTTTCCAGAACCCTCCCTTGTCCGGTGCCTGGGAACCTGTCCATCACATGATCAGGCTATAGCGTATGTGCTTTGCCTGCTGTCTGTAAGTTTGGCCATGTCGTGGGACTAAGATGTTCTGAGAATCACATCAGGTTTGCCTGTGTATCCTGTGATCGTGTAAGTGCCTGTGATATTTCAGGAAATGTCTGCATTTCAGTGAACACACTCCCAATTGAGTACATGTCTACATGTTTGATTCAATTTAGCTGGAAAATTGTGCATGTTGTTTAAAGTAACCATTAATACTGAAGGTTGTGTTTTAAAAATACCTTGGGCACTACCACTAACTAATTATATATTATAATCTGTTCTTCTTTACTAGGTAAAGGTAAAATTTAAGACCTTTCTTGCTGAGATGATACGTTTACATATCTTGGCATACAGTAGGCAGTTTGACCTTCATTTCCTCACTGCTGGCAGTGTCTTTCTTCCTTTGCATTCTACAAGAAGTCTACTAACCTACTCTAAACAATATTTAAACACAGCAGCCATGATGCTTACAAGCAAAGTTTTATTTGTTGCTGTAAATATGATACTGTGTGTTTACCAGTGTGTGCCTTACTAATGTGGGAAGTGACCACTGAGGTGTCTGTGATGTAAGCAATAGAAAGCATAGCAGCACTGAATTTACACTCAGGTTCTCCAATCCCAGTCTAGCAATGTAAAGCTTTTAAGTATCTGTAAATATGATTTGTGTCTACTTCACGCTAATAAGACTAAAGAAACCTTTATTCTAATTGAGAATCAGGATCAGAATTTTTCAGTTCACTATGGCATGGATTTTTTCATTTCAAATAATCTGGGACAAAAAGTGCATCTTTTTTGCTGCTGAAGCAATTACTCATAATTAGGTTATTCCCAAGTGGGCCTCACTATTACTAAGTTTTCATGGTGATCAGATTCTGTTTTGTAATACGTATCTGATTTTGGAAGTCCTATTTCTCAGTTTTTATTTACTTATTCTGAATAAGAAGTGATTCTCTTTTCAGAATAAGCAGCAGTGGAAGTGTGTCTCTACTGATAGCTGTATTCTACAGACAGTATTTTTATAAATGTATTCTTGTATAAAATGTGTAGTATGAGAGTATATGATTCTTAGTTTTTTATTGCACAAGATTAGCTTAAATTCAGTGACTCATAGTAACAGTTTTGATAGTCAGTGACCAGCTTCAAATTAGTACCCAATACAAAAGTAGATGTATTCATTTATAGTCAAGCTAAGAAAAGCTTAGTCTTACAGTAGCTGAAGATGAAAATGCATTATGGAGATAAGCAGTTGACTTCCTTAGGCTAGATAAAATGCACTGAAAGGAAAGACAGAGAAGAATCTGTGTATGTCGAAGACACTGTCTGACTCTGTACCTTTTCTGGAGTGCAAGTGCTTAGCTGTGATTAGAAGCAGTGTCAATGAAATATGAATGCGTTGTAGCATTTCTGACCATATTATACTGTATCTACGCTGTGTTTCAAGTAACCCCTCTTTATCTGAACCAGAAGCATGAAAGAAATTAATAAAATATATGAGGATAAGGAAAGAGCTTGTACTGTGTCCTCTATATAATAGTAATATCCCTGGTACAGCTTGTACAGTAAGGTGACATTGTCATTAGGCTCTTTCTCTGTAAGTCATTTGCACTTCACAAACTAAACGTATCAGAGCTTAATGTAATTCTTACCTGGCATGCTCTTACTTTGGGAGGAGTGATCTATTGCAGACATAATCAAAATGAGGTTATAAATACAGTGCTAATATTACTGATATTTGCTTGATACTACTTATAGAACCTATCACCTAAGAATAATGAAGCACTGACAAACCGTAAGTAACATCAGAACATCCAGCCAGAGTGTACTTTTCCTAATTAGTATGGAAAGTCAACGGCTGGACAAATCATTAATTCGGCCAGATCACACAGTGAGTAAGTGCCAGGGATACAAGTGAGAAGCCAGGAATGCTGACTAGTCCTTTCTGAGATCTAGAGAGCACTTCCAAAGTCCAACCTGAAAAAAGAAAACCTGATTCTTCTTTCTGTGCTGTGTAAATACTTGAAAGACTTTCAAAACTTCTCCTGCTTGGCTTTGCGTAATGGAAGAGATACGGTACTTTGACAGTATGGTCTTTCTCACCTAGCTGAAATGAGGCATCAGTGAAGAATATGTTTGCAGAGATGTGAGATCTCCTATACAGCTTCAAGACAAAAGGAGTTTTGCTGAGCAGTGGCACAGTGAGCTTAGCCAGTGAGTGCATAGATTTTTGTGCTGTTACTTCTTTTTCTGTTGGAAGCTTTCAGAGCATTTCACAAACTTTAATGACTGAAACTTCTCAAAGCATTAATGACATTCCTAACTTTACTGAACAGAGGGAAAAAAGAGAAACATTGGAGCAGACTGACTTCCCCACCAACACAAATTAATCTGAGAGACCTTAGTCTCTGATCCGGCAGACACATAGGTAGGAGCCTTAATTTTTCAGATTAGCAGTCCCGTTGAACTGAAAAGGAAATGTATGTGAATAAAATTAAATTTAAAATATTAATCCTAATTTTAACCATTAACTTCTCTCCCCTCCCTCATGAATGCCTTTTCCAAAAATAACTAAGAAAATTTTGTGGAGGTTTTAAATGGCTTAATTGGTCCATTTTATGGAGTTGGATTTAATATAGGTAGTATTTTATTTAAGTCTACATGATGCCATTTGTATTTTCTCTAAAGTGTTGACCATATAATAGGTGTGAAGATAGACTTCTGAAAGGCACAGTGCAGTCTTTTAACTTTTAACCAGTTTAACCTTTCAAGGAACCCATGGCAGTTTCAACTGGCTATGTTATTATCTAAAACCGTTTGTTCTTCAAATATTGATGTTCTTCACAAAGTGGAATAACATTCAGTTATTTTTAGTGTGTAAAGTAATAAATGACCTTGTAAATGAAAATCAAATGCAGGGACAGGTACCAAATGTTTATGGACTATAAACACCATGCTAACTCTGGGTGAAACACTTTGTATTATGTAGACTAATTTTCAAACCGCATTTGTTGTGTTTATTAGTTTTAATGGCTTAGACACGTTAAAGATAGGTAGTTTTTTTCCTGAACATGAACTACTTGAAATGACTAATTCACAAACTTTTATTGAAGCATCAGTTTGTTTTGATCTGGAAGAAAATCCTAATAACATTTTTTTCTGTGCATTTCATTGGATGCTACAATTCAGTAGTTAGTAATTACATAGGAATTCACTTGACACAATGAAATAAGCACTGATAAGAATCCATTCCCAGAAGTAACTAATGAACAAAGTTGCAATATGTAAAGCTTTTCTTTTTTTTAAGAAGAAACTGACCACTTTGGGGGTTTTTTGTTTTGTTCGTGAAGTCATTGAAGATGCTTGATAAATAAAAAGGTTTATTTATTTGCTTGGTTTGCCAGATCAGAAATGTTAAGTTTAGTTTAGTTTTGCATGAGGAACTAAGGGGAGAGCTCAGGGATATTAATTATGAATCCTAGAAACCTAATGCCAGCAGTGAGTGTGGTGAACCTTGAGCAACTATCTTATCATTCTAAATTTTATTTGGTTATTAGAGTTTTGTAACTTGTTATAAAATGCAACAAAATTTTATTCATTTTAAGCAATCTGATTCAAATTTGTTTCTTCTCACAACTCCCCTCTTTTATCTCATGTTGTGTCATCAGTTATCGAGTGCAAGGCTTTTAAGCTTTAGACTTGCTAATCTGAAGCCTAGCCAAAACCAACCTTTCCAGGTTGTCCACTGTAGCCAAAAAAAAAAGGCACAAAAGAGTACTTTCTAACAGAGAAAAATATCAAAATTACAAATAAGAGAAAAATAAATTCACTACCTACTTGCTCATTAAAGTCCTCGTTTTAACCTTAGACAGATAGATGTATATACCGTATGTACCATGTGTGTATATTGATATACAAGATTTTCAAAACAGAGTTGCAGTTCTCATTAACCTACACAATATAGCCTAAAGCAGTTTCCAAAAATGTGGATGTACTTTGTGTTCTGCACTGTGATTTAGACTGTCAGGTAACATACGCTGTCAGATCTGGAAATGACGTGCCAGTTTTGCAGCATTGTGTCAATCCCAATGCCAGCAGCTTAAAAGTGAAATACTTTTTAAAATTAATACAGAGTGTTTGAATCACTCCACAGAATGTCATTGCTGTGTTTGAGTGCTGGCCCCCAGATTGTTTTCAGGGGATTGTATTTTTCTTGTTGGGAGGAAAGTAAGAGCAAAAGTTCCTTTCAGTGTTTATGTGGACACTGGGTTTGCTCTGCTCCCTTATGGAATAATTACCAGTGACTAAGTGTTCTTGGTTTTCATTTTTCCCATGCTGCCTCCTTACCAGTTATGTAATATATAGTTTAGCAAAACACTGAAGACTGTTTAGAGTTACTGGCTTTCTGTAAAGCAAACAGCTAAATACTGGAGTTGATGCAAAGAAGGCACTTAGCATCTGAAAGAAGTGTTAACACTTTATTTACATTTAAATTAAAATGGACACTTATTTATGTGTTCTGGTTCTGAAAGGTGTGTGGTACATCTGCAGAGGCCTATTGTTTATTCATGCTGTAAATCCTTTGAAATGTGTTAAAATGCTTCCCACTCATTATAAAAATCCTGCCACCCATGGATTAGGGCTTTGATGTCACCAATCCTGCTTCAAAGGGTTCTTTCAATGCTATTAATCACAGTTTAGCCTCTGAAGATATAGCCAGAGAAAACATTTGGACATCTTGTGCTAGACTTGCTAAAACTTTGAAATATACAGTGTGTCTTGCATATGCACAGTCCCGTATCACTTCCTCTCTCTTCTCTGAGCCTTTATTTTGAAAAGCTATTTTGTGATGACTTGGGCTTTCTACAAGTACAGAGGAAAAAGTTTAGGACATGTTATACTGTACATTTAGATAAAGGCACTCGTCTTTCCGTTGACACCACAATATGTTTTTGCCTGAGGAATTGAGTCGGTCCTTAAAAACCCCAAGGGACAGTAAGATTGGGGATTAAGCAGGCCTATATGTCAAAAGGTCAAAAAAAGATACTGTCTTATCATTTTCTCATTTCTTTCATTAGTTTGTGAGCTTAAGATGCTGTCTAAACACTTCAAGATCCACATGATTTCATAGAAACAGGATTGTTTCTGCTGTCTTTTTCTCTTTTAAATCTCTCAATGAGTCACAGAGAAATTGATTACTAGTGATTGAGCTGTATGCCTTTGTGCTGTCATTGTTTTCATCAGCTCAGTAGCTAAGGTCAGTGACATACCACCTTATCACTGACTTTTTCCTCCCTTTTAAATCAACACTGCACTCTGTCATGCCTGTGCTGAATGCTCTACAGGCACAACTGGTAATGAGTGGGGTGTGGAAGAAGTTTGGTGGTGTCTGCTATTTTTAGTACTATTGTCCAAGTTGATTTTCCACCATACCAATTTTTCCCTGCTAAGCTTCTTGAACAGTTTTTGCAGTATGTATTTCTTTCTTTTTGAACAGGTAACTTGGCACAAGCAAGAGCCAGAGTGACAGCAGCATCTAGGTCTTTGCCTCCACAGCTTAGTGCTGGGCGTATCAAGGTTAGTAGTATACCGTTTGAAGACAGGCACTTGTTCATAAAATTTTACAGTGAGACTGTGGACATGATGCTTAGCTAATATAGGTATATAGTGAAGTTCTTAGCAAATGGGAGTTCACCTTAATATCAGACAACATGCACTTCAGCTGGGAGCACCATTTCCAGTTTTAGTGAGCACCCTACTGTAGAATCCAGTGAAGAATCAATTTACTACTGATGAATCTTTAAACTTCTGAAGTGAAATCTCAATTACATTGATATCGATAGCAGTATTCCTCTTGATTTCAATGGGGTCAAGGTTTTCCTCTGGCAATTTTGGCCTAGAAAGAGGTTTAATTGGGTAGAATTTGAATAACGTATTTAATGGTATGAAAGGCAAAATAAATTTAAAAAGGTCTGTTCCTCTTTTATTCAACTTGGAAGTGAAAAACCAGGGAACATTTGTGACTGATAGATAACCAGAAAAGAAGGACTTGGCAAAATCATGATTCTTTAAAAAGAACAACTGTAGCATTTAAACACTGCTGAATTTTGCCGTAAAAGTATGTGGCATAATTGCAAAAGGATGGGATGATTTTATGGCAGTTAATAGGATGTGTTGCCAACTGAGTACACATGATTTGTGAGGAAAACTCTTGTGCCTCAAGCTGATAGCATGTATACCCCCTCCCCGCTTCGTAAGTAGTACCATTAGAGTTAGCTTAGTTAAGGGTTTGGGGAGGTTTTTTGCCTCCAAAGCAAATAATAGTTTTTAAAAACAGATGTGGTAACAGCAACTGTTTAAAAGTCTGCAGAATTTTATGTTCTGGGTTTTCTATTTCTTTTCATTCTCTCTTGTTAATTGGAGCTCATGCTCAAATGTTGATACAGTGATTCATGTTACCCAGACATCTATATCCTTCACTGTACCTGCAAATACAGATGTGGATTTCAGAGATCTATTTCCTCTCTGGTATAAACACTTTCAGTGCTGAAGGACAGATCATGGCCCTTCCAGTTTTCTTTCATCATACACACATTGTCTTCCACATCCAGCTATATTCAGCATAAGCTTTCTAAGCATGCATTTCATTGATACAGCTGGAATGGAATAGAGCAGTTCTTTTAGAGCTTTAGTAAACATAATCAGTTATACTAAGTAGTGTTGAAGTGGTTTTTACTCACCTTTCAAATTTTTAAAGAAGGAGCTAGAAGACATGCTAAGTGCAGCACTATTCAGAAGATGCTGAAATAATCTTTAGATGAAAAAAATTATTTCTTATAACTTCATAAAACTTCTAATTAAAACAACTTCAAGGAAAAGATTTTCAATTACTATTTTACAATTTGTTAAAAAAAATTCCAAATGTAATAATTTTATTTGGAAGTTTGGAAATTTTCATTTATTATTTAATTTATGAGCTTTTTTGCTAAATGTCTTTTTTGCTTTTACAGTATTTAATACCATGCCAGCAGCAGGTGTGGTCAATATGTGAAAACAATAATTTCCAATGACTTCATAAGGTGACATGATGTCATAAATCATTTTTTAATATTGTTTCAAAACTATTATAAACCATTTTTTTAGTGATGCAACAGTTTGTCTTTTATAGGTCAAGCTGTTTCCCATTTCAGCTGTAATCATGTAAATGTATATTTTACGTCACTAATACTGTCATGTAAAAATGTGACCTAACAGTTGAAATATTCTTCATTTTAGTTTAAAAAGAGTAGCTAGTGATTTAAAACACAAGATTATATCATGACATTCTTATTATGTTCTATCGTTTTCTGACAAGCCAGTTGTGATAAAGCCTGTTGCCTGTTGTACACGTGATTATTGCCCTACCATAAAACTGCATGGCTTCATAGACACGCAATGTTATAAATTAACCAGAGACAAAACTTCTAAAAATTCTAACAGGTTCAGGGTCTATCAGAATTTTTCTAATGGAAACTGAAAATATTTCTTGTCAAAAAGATTTGGAAATTGATCCTAGTCTTTACAGATTGTGCAGATCTGAAATTACAACTCTATCCATAGAAAAAGGAATCTCGCAATACTGGTTTTACCCTGATTTCCTGAGAAAAAGTGTATTACATCTCCTCTGTGAGTGTTTCTGACCATCTGTCTTTCTGTGTGTTCACTCCCTTCCCCCCCAAAAACCCAAAACAAAACAAAACCCTTTTGAACCCAGCAGGCTATAGTAAACCATATTTGACAGAGTGGCAATCTCAAAGATTCTACAGGTTTGGTGAAAATAAGCAGCTGTGAAGAGGAGATGCTTACAGTCCCCTACTGCCCAAAAGGTAGAGCCTAAGCTCCCCCTTTATTGGCCAGCAGATATTCTAGGTATGACTGAGAGTCTGAGAGTGCTGAACCTCCAACAGCAGTATCGCTAAGAGTCTCTGCTTTTCTAGACAGACAAGAATCCAATTTAGAAGCTCAAATTCATGGGCATTTGGGCTTCAGTGCAGTCCTCAAACTATTTGCTTTTGCTCTTGATTAGGTGTTCTTTATGATTAAATTGTCTGACTTTTAACATTAAATGTTACCAGTTATCCTGAACTTACTGTCAATAGTCACTGATGTGGCTTTTGTCTTCTACCCGACCTTTACTAGAGATTTGGATACCAATTCTCAACATTCCCATATACTTCCCCCTGGACAGTCTGCTGTTCTGATTAGGTAATTGATATTTACTTTGTCAGGTGACCTCTTAAGATGTTTGATGTCGTCTGTGCTGATAAGGCATTTTTCCTGGGATATATTACAGAGTTTTTTGTTAACATCCCTAAAACTGACATCAAACTACATCTTTTTTTTTTTTCTCTTACGTGTTAGTTTGAGATGCATACTAATGCACGTGCACCACTCTGGGCTAGAACATCACAGATTACAAAAACATACTGAAATTTTTATAGTCGCCCTTATGGAAATCTGTCTCCCTTTGCACCATCTGTACTCTGAATCTTGTCTTCCCAAGTTTTCTTTTGATTTCTTCCCCAACACAAAATCCATTTTCTTGATCTATTACTACTTAGTGCTTCATTTCCTTTATATTTTGCATGCAGTCTCCTAAATATCTCCTGAAGGTAAGAGGCACAGTTACTGTATTGAGTACTGTCATCTCTCAACAATTACTTTTAGTGTTCAGAAGAGTGGTCTTAAGGCAGTGAGTGTTGGAAATGATCGTGTGGAGCAAAGTCCAGGAAGTGTAGCACAGGTGCTGACAACAGCATTATCTGGTTTATACAAGTGCCACCTGGTCAGAGCAGATGGTAAACTGCCACAAAGCAAGTGAATGCTAAAATGTTGTTAATGCTCCATGCAAACAGGATGCTGGTTGATTTTCTTTAACTTTGTTGAGCTGTAATACAGCAACACAATCTGCTTGTGATTGGTAACCATGGTTATACTCATTCATAAATTCTGGTTTCATTTTGATAAGAACAGCTGTACTGACAATATAACTAAAATATACAAGCAGCAATATGTTTGCTGTCCATGTATACCCTCTAAAAATAACTCTTCTGAAATGCTGAAAAAGTGGTATTTGAAGCTGTGGCAGTTCAGCAGAGTAAGATTGCTGAAATTCTTGGAATCAAAATGGCAATTTAAAGTAATTAATAGTAAACACAATAGCAGAAAGGAAAAGACATACATTCTGAGATTACCTACTTTGTTTGCCAGTTGTTATCAGAAAACAACATTTTTTCCATACATGAGCAAAATGAGGCAGCTCAGTTTACTTCCTGGTCATTACAAAAATGATAACCCTTCTTCTATGAAAAATAAGACCTGATAGAGTTCCTTGTAGTGGTGATAAGAGGAATGGTTTTTAGAAATCAGTTGATAACATATTGCATCTTGATGGCTCCTTCACTGGCTTGGTGTTACACTATCATAACAAAAGCGTGAAATCATTCAGAACACTTAAGGCTTTCTCTGAAATCAGTGTGTTCTGCATCTGTTAGAAGCTGGCCTTCCTACGTCTGATAAAGTACTCTGAAGTACTCACACCTGAAGGAATGACCGTAACAAAAACTGAACCCAGCTTTCATGCAGGACGTGGGGTGGGTCTGCAGTATTTCTGGAACAGCTCTAACATCTGAGTTTGTCTTTCAGGTTGACACGATGGAGGTTATGCGACACCCTGAGGAAACAACTAACATGAAGCGGCAAACTATGGCTTCCTATTTTAGGGTACAAATGTTAAATTATAAACAAACATTTTGGTAATAAGAACAGTAGATATCTCTAAAATATCTCTGAGATTGTGAGATCAAAGAGAATAATAAGAGAATTTTTTTATTCTCTTGTTATGCCTTTGTAGACTCATAAATTTTCTTTTGCTCCTTTTCTTTTTATTTCCTCATATTTGTACTTTTACAATTTCACCGAGTACATTGATAGCAGAATCTAGAGTCTAGACTGTTTCTATCTAAAATGCTGGAGGTCTAGAACAGGTCTCTTTATGAACAGAAAACTGATTTTGTGCAAATAAAATAGCTGTCATTACTAAAGCCTTCCTGTTTTTTCACAATCTCAGGCATACCTACTTTTAAAGATTAAGATTTGTCATTTGTGCTAATAAGTAAAAGCAATCCATCTTTTGGAAGTAGTGTTATAATTCATATGTATTACCATTTTATCAGTAGTAATCCTGTCTGGGGTAATGTATATTCTGCATGTGTGTTTAAATCAAACAGGTAAGGAAAAGGCATTGAAAATGTTGGAACTGGAGAATTAGAAGTCAGGAAACCTACAAGCCAATCCAAAGCTATTGGTTAATGTTTTTTTCTTGCGGTCATTGCAGAGTGGAAAAACTTTGAGCAGTTGGTCGTGGGCTGCACTTGTATCATGCAGAATGTGGAAGTTCACAGTGCTGTGCTAGCCAGTGTGGGTCAAAGCTTCATGCCATGTAGGAATACCTGTTTTCTCTGTTGTGCAAAAAAGTGTAAGAAAAGGCATATACATATATATATATACCAGAGGCAGCTGGTATATACAGAGATGATGCTGCAGTGTGGAGTGTACAAGGACACACATCCAGACATGTCTAGTAACACGCGTGGATTTAGAGTGCTCTTGCAAAGAACTACGCAGATGTCAGCTGTGTAGAAACTGTAAAAGAAAACAAGCAAACAAACAAAAAAAAAGTGGAGTGGGGGAGTGAGTGTGAAAGTACACCATAATATGGATGCAGCCTACAGCAAAATGACCACAGTCAGCTTGGAACTGTACATGATTTTGAGATGGAGTGTATTTGCAACAAACTCTTATACAGTGGGTTAATGAGGTGAGGATGGAGCAGAAGTATGTGTTCAGAGAGGTCATTGGAAAAGCATATACATATAATCTGATCACACTTTTTTCATTTTAGTGTAAAATGCAATAGAATAACTTGTTTTCCGTGTCCGGGGTGGATAGGACAAGACATAACAAGCCTACATTTCAGCAGG